CGTCGATCCACCATTCTAACTTCATCTTCTCCACTCGATCCCTCCACTTCGGATTACTCATCAACATTTTTTTTTTCCTGGTAGTCACGCCAATCCAAAATAAACACAAACTTTTTTTTTCCCTACTACCGCACACAACTCCCAAAATTCAAAGCAAAATCAAAACACAAACTTTTTTTTTCCCTACTTCGCCACGGCCTTGCTCTCGACGATAGGTGTGATCGACTCGGTTATTAGCCTAACTCTCTCACGATACTTGAGTTCACTCGGTAATTAGCCTCGCTCCCTCTTTTGAACTAGCTCGGGTCTTAGCATCACTAACTCGGTTGAACTGGCTTGGGTCTTTGCCTCACCAATTCGATTGCATAATCGAACTCTCACGAATCCTAACACACGGTTTCGAACAAACGTTCTTTTCTATTCAACTCATTCCACACTCTTCAAAACAATGAGGGATGCTCCCTATTTATAGATCCTAACTATGACTAATCCTACTCCAACTAAATCTCTATAAACTGTGCAGTAAATAAATCCTAATACTACTAAATCTCTAATTAAAGCAATAAAATATTAACTATCCTATACAATCTAGATATTATTGTGCAAGAAGAAAACTAAATATACTAGAGTCCTTAATTGACTAGATCTTGATCTTGCTTGGCTTGCACTCCAAACAATTCCAAACTTCACGCCCCAAGTATTTTCGGTCGCCTCATACGCGCATCATGCGCGCCGCCCATCGGCGCTAGTCCTTGTCGCGCGCGGACTTGCGCGTTTTGTCTGTTTTGCACGCGCGCGCCATCGTGCGCTGATGAGGATCGTGTGTTTCGACTGCCGATAAGCCGCTAACCCGTGCCTTGAATCGCCGATAGTGTTTCTCTAGCCACAACCGCGCCTATTGAAACGAATAAAATTGCAGTAGTATTTTGGTGAAAAGACTAAAGCAAAGTTGGAAGAACAAAGTTCTAGATTTCTTTTGATTTCTTGAATGATGAAAAATAACATGGGGTAAGGGCCTTTACATAGGCACAAGATTTGTCTAAGTCTAATCTACCTAGGAAAATAATAAAGCAATAAAATATTAGGAATCCTAAACAAGCTAGAAAATATAATTCTAGTTGGAAACTAAATAACTTGGCTTGCACTCCAAGGGATCTCTCTCTCTTCTTCCAAGCCACACGCCAACCGCCTTTGCGTGCCGCCCGCTCGCCCTAGTCCTCGGGGACTAGGGCACCGCCTTCCTTCTCCGCGCGTGCGTGCCCATCCGGCGTGTCGCGCACGCCACTGCTGCTGGCCGCCTTACCGTGCGCGTGCTGCTTCGCCACTCTGCATTCCTCTAGGAGTACGACCTCGCGCATCGCGCGTGCCTTTTCTTCCAGCGCGCACCTCGCGCGCCTTTGCCCGTGGCTGCTCCCTCGCGCGCGTGCCTCCCCACCATTCCGCACACCTCGAGGCTTGAGGATTCGCGTGCGCGTGTTCCCCCGTTACGCGGGTCTTCCGTGAGCGCGCTGTTCGGCACCGCGGCCTGCGCGTTCTGCCCACCTTCGCTAAGCACGCTATCTGTGCGCACCACCCGCATATCCGTGTGTGGCCTATTCTCCCCCGTTCTGCGCACACTACACTCCAGTGCGCGCACTTCTGCCGTCGAACGTGCTTGTCTCCTGCATGCATGGTAGGCTCGACTTGTGGCGTTCTTGAGCTGCCTGGCGATTTCCGCATCATTCCCGTCCCCTTCAAGTGATTCCTTGTCCTCAAGGATGAAATTCGGGAACTGATCGCGCATCTCTTCAAGATCTTCCCACGGGGCTTCTTTAGATAGCAACTCTTCCCAGTGAACTAGTACTTCCCAACGATAGCGTCCTGCTTTGTTTACCTTACGGTACTCAATTGCTCATTTTGGGCGTACTATGGCCCTGCCATCGGCGGCGGTTGTCTGTAGCTCCTCACAATACATCTGCGCTTCTCCTAAACTCCTCTTGAGTTGCGAGACATGGATAACTGGGTGGATCTGAGAACTTTCTGGCAACTCTAGACGATAAGCTACCTGACCAATGCGCTTTAGAATCTGATAAGGCCCGTAATAGTGAACGCCCAGTTTAGTTGCGGCTCTTTGTGCTGTTGTGCATTGTCTGAATGGTCGTAGCTTCAGGTAGACGTATTCGCCTGGTGCAAAATTTTCCTCACGCCTTTTCCCATCTGCGAAGGCTTTGGTTCGATTAATTGAGCCTTCGAGATTTTTCTTCAGCTCACGCAACATCAAATTTCGTTCCTCTAGTTCTCGACCAACCTCGTCGTTGACTGTACTCCCCTCTGAATAATTGATCAGTGTCGGGGGTTTTCGCCCGTATACCAGTTCAAATGGCGTCATCTTGGTCGACTCGTGGTAAGTGGTGTTGTACCAATACTCAGCCCAAGGCAAAAAGTTTTCCCACCGCTTCAGAAATTGATGGACGTAGCATCTCAAATACTGCTCAAGGGTTCGGTTGGTTATCTCAGTTTGTCCGTCTGTCTGTGGGTGGTAGGCTGAGCTCATAGATAACTTAGTCCCTTGCAACTTGAAGAATTCAGACTAAAAGCTGCTCATAAAAATCCAATCTCGATAAGAGACAATGGATCGCGGTGCTCCATGCAGTTTCATCACATTCTCCACAAATAACCTGGCATTCGACTTTGCGGTGTAAGGATGGGTAATGGGTATGAAGTGAGCATACTTTGTGAGACGATCCACTACGACCATAACACCGTCAAATCCATTAGAACTCGGTAACCCCTCTATGAAATCCATAGTAATGTCTTCCCAGATTGCCTCGGGTACCGGTATGTTAGAGGTATGCTGTAAAAGCTGTGTTTTGCAGTTTCTATCAATTCCATTTTG